TGCTATTTAAGCCAAAATATTTTTAGCCATCCTAAGGTAACCCTCTTTCCATGTTTTGATCTGCAGTGGCCACTGCAGGCTCAGCTAATATTCTGATTGAGGCCTAGAATATAAAGTGACTGTTTGGTACTAAGAGTCAATGTTTAAATCTCTGAACATTAGTAATGTTTCAAATAAAGGGGTCAGTTTTCCTACATATGAGACAACTTCTCAGCAACACATTGTGTTGGCTTCTACTTTGAGGAAAAAAATTCCAGACTTGTATCTTGTAAGACTGAGTTATGTCAGAAGTATGATTTGAGATTTTCTAAGAAGGAGCATTAGTTTCATATAATTTGGGAATAAAACATTTGATTATTTTTACTGTTTAGTCTCCTACCACTTGTGATGATAACTGTTTTATCACAAGCTTATGTATGTTGAAGTCTTAAAGGTAAGGGAAGTTAGTGTTCTGAATCCATTTGTAATTTGACAGCACTCACTCCCATGTGGAAGCGTAGTTTAACTTTTCTAAAATTTCTCTCCTTCAGTGCTAAACAAACCCTGTTTCTGCATGTCTGAATGTAGGTCGATGCATTACGATTACGTCTGGAAGAGAAGGAGACTATGCTAAATAAGAAGACAAAACAGATTCAGGAGATGGCAGAGGAGAAGGGGACTCAAGCAGGAGAGATCCATGACCTCAAGGACATGTTAGAGGTGAAGGAACGCAAAGTTAATGTTCTTCAGAAGAAGGTAAGATTGTAGAGGTCTAAGTCAGATACACATCTTTGATGCATCTTGATTTCTAAGTCTGTCAAAAAGTCTGAACTAGAATTTATATTTTGGAGATTAAAGATTGAGTCCATTCATGTAATGGGAAGATGGTGAATGATGAATTTCAGTTTGAAGTTTTGAAGAAAAAAATAGAAAGAATTCAAAGCAGAGATTGTTGCCTTTCAGTGGTTGCATGTGCTGCTTCTGCTTCGTTATTAACAATGACTGAAGTTTTGTAGGAAGGTACATCATCTGAAAAATCAATCCTTTCACTCCCACCACCTTAACAAAGCCACGCTGATTTGAAGCACAGGGCACTGGGTGACTGCGACTTCAGTATGTGATTAAATGAATCAAGGGTTGTATCAGTAGAAGCAATTAGGATGATTCCTCTGTAACTCACTGAGAAAAGTTCAGGAAGAACTTTGGATAACTTTCATTAGAAATGCTGTTTTATCATACTTAATATTTCTTGGGAACTACTAGAACAGGATAATCAGGGTTCAGACTATCCTGTATATCTTTCTGGATAAGAAAATGTAGACCTTGTCAGTGAAATGGGGGAGATCTGGATAAGAAAAAGTAGACCCTGTCAGGGAAATGAGAGTGGTTTCCCAAAGGGCATTGAGTCCTAGGGCAATGAATGTCATTATGGATGATCGTTTGCGAATTGCTCACAATGTTTCCCAAACGGCTGCTACATATGGTAAAAAGAGAGAAATGCACGTATCACAAGAAATTTTTATTTACAGAATATTTTTTTTCCTCTGTATTTTTAGAGGAGCTGCTCTTGGAGCTTGTATTCAATGTTTTAGGCTGTGAATGTAGGTTTTTTCCTAGACCTTTAAGCAATTATCTGGAATTCTTGTTATTTTTAATAGTTCAGAATATTGATTAATTTCTGATGCCTGGCCCATGCCTTTTCTTCTAGTATATAGCTATGAATCATGAGGGTTTGGGTCATGTTCAGTTCTGTTACAGCAAGCTTCATGCTGGAATGGAAGTTCAGGCATGGAGTTTAGCCATAAATAAGTCATTAATAATTCTACAATAGAGCTCTAATTCCTAATCTTCATGGCCTTATTTTTTGACTGTTCATCTTTTTAGAAACATGGATTTTTAATTTTTGTGCTGTGCTTTCTCTTTGTTTTCAAAATTGGTCATGCACACTCCAAACATTGATTGAGATCCCAGCTGAATGTTTAACCAAGAAGTGGGGAATCTGACACTTGCGTAAATGTTAAATGTCAGTGAGGTTGTTTTACTTCCATTTACTCTTACGCTGTTTTTTCACACGTTTTCTTTTTTGCTCTGCTTAACGCTTTAGGATGTTCTTTCATTGGTTCATTTATAGGCAGCGCTAAAGGTTCTCTTTTTACTAATTTCCTATACTTGTTTTCTTGAGACCTCTGTAATCCATATTAAGACAGTTTCATCTTGTCTCTTCATGTGGCTAGCCTATTTTTGAGGTTGGTTTGCTGCTGCTTTCATGTAGAAGTACCTGGTCTCTTCACACGGGAAAGTAAGGGCCCAAGCTTTTAGATGTAAAGGTTTTGAGGTCTTGTTCTCCTAGTTAGCTCAACACAGGATAACACTACCATAATAAAGTGCAATTTGAGTTGTTTTGTAAACCTGTCCCTGAGTTTCTTAAACAAAGAAACATATAACATATCTATAGAAAAATATCTCTTTCCTGCTGCTAACTAGAATCACATGCAGAGATTTGAATTTGCTTCAGCCTTCAAGTTGTTGGAACCATTTCCTTTAACATGAACAGTTGAATTGTGAAGTTTTTAAATCCAAAGATGATTTTTTCAGTTTCTATAAGTACCAAACCTAGAATATTTTTATGGAGAATCCAGCTGACAATACTTTTATCTGAGGTTTGTGGTGCAATATGGAATTTCTTTTTATTTTTTGTATGACCTAGGGTAAATGAGCTCAAATTCAGTCTTTTAAAGTTTTAGGATTGATGTTTTTAACTGAATTTTTTAATTGGTTCTCCAGACTTGGAATCTAAGACTGGGTTTGGGATTTTCTGTAGATCAGGCTTGCATTTTCTTGTTCTCTTTAGCATTTTTTCACAGAAAAGCAGAGCTTGAGAAAATATCTGAGGAGGGACAGGTCTGATTTTATCTATATACTGTGGAACTCATGAGAACTTGCATAAAATCTGTTTCAGATGCTAGAGAAAATTATGAAGTCTCATTTTTATCTGATATATATGCCTGTCCTTTTTGGACTGTACAGATAGCTATTTCTGCCTCTGCCTGGAACTTTAGAAGCCCGTAGCTCCTCTCATGTAAATGTTTCTCTCTTAAAGCTTGTAAACTCTGATCTACTTTTTCTTTTTTGCATTTCTAGAGTGTACCTTGTTATTGAAGTCCACAGCCTATTTTCTGCTTTATCCAAGTACTGTCTTTCAGACCTTCCGGGACAGTTCAGAATTTTATTTTCTTTAAAAAAAAAATGTGCAGCCTTTAAACTTTTGCCTCAATGCACAATAGTCTTTTTATTCCTCCCTCTGACTATAAACTGGCATGTTCAGATCAGGTTTTAATCTGTATATTCTAATTGAAGATCTGGATGGTACAGTTTGAAGTTTCTTTAAAGGTCACAGATAGTAGTATTTTTTTTTATTGGCTTAGTTATCTGATATGAAATGCTTCTTTTAAGTTTATCAGCATGATTTAAGTGGTACTTAGGCATTTGAATTGAATACAGTGAAAGACGATGAAAGACGTAGTACAAAAAAAGCTTTTCCTCTTGTGTAGTGTTAAGAAATATTTTTCTATGGATATTTGGAAGCAGCAGCATATAACTGCTGCTTGCAGTTATGAGGAGGTATGGGGTACAGGTGTTGGCATGTTGAAGGAATTAAACCTAATTAAGAATTAGATTAGTAGATACTATTCAATCAGTTTTTACCAAGTACTCTTCCCTCAGCATATACTCAGATTTGAGGATATTTTTGAAGTGGGTACTGTAATGAACTAAATTTTGAATATTTTTTTAATGCTAGATAAAAAGAAAATTTGTAACAAAAGCTAAAATCATAAAGATTTTGAAAAGAAAAGAATTTATTGAAAAATCATTAACTTACATAACTTACCTGTTTAGGAAATGTTGTTACTTTCTTTTGAAATTTAGAGCAATCACCTCTGCTAGTAATACAGCCATAGGCAAATGATATATGGCTATGCTGGGCATTTGGACTTCTGTTTATAATTTTTTTTTATTTTCTGTGACTGTTTTAGATGTGTAATCACCTATTCTGATGACACTGACAAGAAATTGTTTGGTGTGGTGCCCAAAACTGTGCTATACTAAATTTCTGCAATTTCTGTTGTTCAAACAAAAATGATTTAAAATCACCCTTTACTATTGGGTGTCTGTTTGGATTCATCGACGCAGGCCACTGCATAGTTTGTTTTATGAACTATTAATATCATTGTTGTATTGATTAAAGGTGGTGAACTAGAAAGTATACCTTCTGGTCATTCTTAAATCCAGATGAAGAAAGTAATGAAAATTTACTGGCTTGATTAGGGATCAAATAAAAGACACAGAAGAAGATTATGAGCAACAAAGATCTGAAAAATTAACATGACAATTGGCATCACTACTGATACCCAGTAGGCGCCAAAATACATGTTCCAGGTTGCTGAGGAAACCGCATGCTTCACATTTTAAATTCTGGAATCTTTCCAGTTCTAAGCTCCTGTAGTGATGCTGCTTGATAGCACCTTTATTTGAGACAATAGAAGTAGAGCAAATGTTAGAAATTTGGAGACTACAGAAAGGAGGCTTAGCTTTATGTGTGAAAATTTGATGCAAAAACTTAGTTTTATAGAGCTTCAGGATTTTTTTTTTTCCTCATTTCATTGAAAGTAAATCTTGCATAAAATCTCCTTTTCAGTTGTTAGAACTCCAGGCAAGGGGAGAATGTCAGAATATAAAATAGGAACCATGCTGGAAAAATTTTGAAATCTGAACCTGAAAAACATTAAATTGTGCTTCATTGGTCTCTTTGCCACATCTGTCTATCTGTGTTGGTAGACCAGGATGAAAAGGAAGAGGGAAAAAAAAAAAATCAATACTTTGCAATCAAAGCATTTTAGAGAAATAGCATTTGGGACAAAAGGTAAGTAACAGTTACTCTGAAAGAAAAAAAAAGCAGAGAGTCAATCACCCCTTGCTTTGGGGGGAGGTCATGTTTTGTCTTGGGGAGAGGGGGTTAACACTCCCTTCATTGTGCAATGCAACTGTAGGTAAATAAAATGCAAATTTTAGTGTCTGAACATAATATTTTTTTTTTGGCAGCTCCCCATGCACTATATGATAATTGACCTGTGATAAAGTAATGGAAGAACACAGATGGTTTTTTTTTGTTGTTTTGGTTTTTTTTTTTTTGTCTGTGCTGATTTTACTTGTTTAGCTAGTATTCAGGAAGACTCCAAATGCAATTTTCCTGCTCTTCTGGATAAGAAGAGTTGCCCTTCTCCAGAGGAAATAAATGCCCTCTGCTTTTCAAAAAGCTTAGAAATCAAAATAAATATCTTATGCTTATTGATAAGAAATACTGTGTGGCAGGATGGAGGGCCTGCAAATGGAATTTATAACTGTGTTGTTTAAAATCAGTAGTGACATAGTTATTACACCAGCAGTGTTGATTTAGTATTCATAACTTTTAAAGTTCAGTGTTTGTACTTTAAAGATTATTTTCTTTCCATTCCGTCATCTGTGAAGTAGATTTACCTCCTCAGGCAGCTCTTCTGCTCCAACCCTGAAGAGACGAGAGAGCACAGAGAAGGAACTGCATTTTCAAACATTTAATTCAGTTTATGGTAGTTTCATCTTCCCTGGTGTGACCTTAAACTTGCCTACCAGATGAATGAATATATGGTTTTCTAAGAATTAATAAAATGCAGGGTGGACTTTTAGATATCCCTTTGAGACTCTCTACGATGTCATTTAGT